TCTGGTTGTTTTTTTTTTTTTTTTAAATAGAGGAGATTTAAAAATTTGTGAGGAGAAGACTGGATGGGAAGACTGTAAATGCCAGACAGCACAAGCTATTTACTTCAAAGCATAATGGCAGCATTTTCTGGTAGCTACCACACACACCATTCAAAGACAAGCTCATCTACTGCATGGTATTTAAATGGAGCTCCAAATAGCCATGAAAAGGGGAGGTAGGACTCTGGGTAGTGCATCTGAATGCAGGAGAGGGAAAAATCATTACTGCTTTTTTTACTTCTCTTGATGTTGCTCTTCTTTCGTGATGGACATGAAAAATCTGTCAAGCTGTGGTATAAAATGTTTTGACAGTTGGATATAAAATGCAGTGAACTCAAAATACTACTTGAAAATGTGTTGTGAATCTACTTCCAGACCTGGCCACTCTGTAGGGATGCCAGCACGCTGGGAGTTGCCTGCATGCTTGCTTGTTGGCTGTGGTGTTGCCAGTGTATCTCCTTATGCATCTTGCAGGAGCAGCACCATTCTGCTTTGCATGAAGGTACTTACAGCCAAAGGAGTACTGTAAATAGAGGAATGCAACGCTGGGGTTGTTTAAAGAGCCATTTACCATGTAGTATGATCCAGAGTTTTGGTAATGTGTAGGGAGAAGAAAGGCCATTGGAAAGGTAGGAATTCATATGTACGTGGTGTGATCCGCTCAGGCAGGCATTATGACAGAAACTGGCAGGTGTAGCCAAAATTCTGTACTGGGGATGGCACCATTGTGTCCCTGTTGCATCACTGTCCCAGTTCCCTGCAGAAGACAGTCAGTCCTCTCTTCAGCGTGCAGAATTTGTCTTGCTGCAGGCCACGCTGGGGACCTGAAATTGATAAATCAGTGTTTATCTGATTAATTTCCCTCCGAGTAATTGTTTGTCCCGTGAGATCCTGCCTTCAGGCAGCTGATACCATTCGGTATCTTGAATCTCCCTTCCATCCCTAGCCTACATGAGGGAGCCGTGTGCTTCAAGCTGATGCAAGCAGTATTTCTCTCAAATTGATGCACAGGGACCTTGCATGGTTTGAGGTGGTGTAGTGTAAAGGCAGGGTGGCAGAGGAGCCCTGAATGAGGCAGAGAGAGCAGGCTGGATGGCGAGTACCCGTGCCAAGGCATTGCTGAGATTACAGGCTGGGTGTGGTACAGCACTGCCGCCTTGTCTCTAACAAGCTAACGCTGTTGTGATGGAGAACTGGTCAGCCAGCATGCCTGGGTATGTGGTATGATTCCTGCACTGGATGGTAAGAGCCTAGCTTGGCTGTTTCCATCACAGCAAAGTCAAATTGAGAAACCTACCAGTCCCTTTGCTTTGAGTTTCGTGTGGAGGTAAATGTTGACTGGCCTGTGGTAGTGCTGCCCTTTTGCTAAAGCCATTCCTGTGTAAACCATGGATACAACTCCCTTAGTATTTTTTTTTTTATTTACACTGAAAAAATATTTCAGCTTTGGATAGGTTGCAAGGCAAAGAAGCCCTACCTTATGATCAGCTTTATTTGGCCTCCAGTATAGCAAGCCAAAGAAATGAACTCAATGATTATTTTGGTACTAAGGCATATGATCAGCATATTCTGTGCTATGTGCTTTTTTGTTCAGTTCATGATTTTGATGTCATGCCATGCTCAGAATGGTTGATCTTTGATTATTTCTTCTTGATTTGCCTCCTCTTACAGGAATTACAGCAAACCTGAAAATAAACTAGCCCTCTGTGTGTAAGCATTTTTAAAATGTCTAAATTTAAATAAAAACTTGATTTGCATACTGTTTAAGAAAATTGTTTGGACCTGGCAGTAGCAAATTACCAAAGTATTAGGGGATGCTATCTTTAAAAAACAAAATTAAACTGCTTCATAGCAGCAATTAAATTTGATTTTATGATATAGCCTTTAATTATGTCATTGCTTTCATTCTATCAAAAAAAAAAGTGATAGAAGCAGAATATATTCAGCTGAATGGAGGAGAGAAAAGAAACCTATAATTTGGAAAGGGATGTTGTTCAAAGATGGATAGAAATCACTCTTGAAAGGTATTTTCTTTATTGTTTGTTGCCTCACATGGCTAAGTGGTTGAAAAATTGTCCAAAATCAATTACGTGTATTACATAAGAGTACCACACCCAGTATAAGCAGTTTTTGTGAACAAGCAGTGACTCAGAAATCGTAGACATAGTTTGAAGATGTAATATCTTAGGGTGGGATTCACTTTGTTTTACTTAGGTTCTTAAAAGTCAGGGAACTCTGAGCCAGTCTGTGTCTTTGCATTTTTTTAATGGTATCTGGTTCCTGGGTAAGCTATCATAGTTACAGCTCAGCTTGAAGCTCTGCACTGGGTACAAGTCAGATGAAAGTCCATAATGAGAAAAGTCCTCAGTCTCTGTACAAAAGCAGATTTTAAAATGGAGCATTTGCTTTTGTGACATCAACAAATTCAAGTGGTTGTGCAACTTGGAAAATGTTTTGGTTTCAAGCACCAGTGTTAAATTGTTCTTTGAAAATATCTTCTAATTACTTAATTATTGGTTATCCTTTGAAAGTCAATATTAATGAAACCTAATTTGGTAGAACCAATGCTTTTATTTTAATACCAACAAACCACGTAGTTGTCAAAATCAGTGTGTCACAACATCAGTCTGACAGCTCCATCCTGTATAGCAAATCAGTGTTATTGCTGCAGTGGCTGCACAAATAACTTAGTCAAAATGCTTCCAGTGTAATGTCTTCTAATGTAGTTTTAAGAGGTCTGCAAGTCTAATAGAGGCATTTACAGCCTTGTACTCAAATTGGACTCTTACTGTTCAAGGAAAAAGGATTATGCACTATGGCATGGTGTTCTTGTGTTCTGGACAGGCTACTCTGAAGTTTAATTTGTCTTCAATGGCTCATATTCCTTGTCTTCCTCTGAATGATTTTTGAGGAGTGTGGGGCTCAGCTACATACTGCAATTCTAGAACTTTTTTTTTTTAAAAAAAAGAGGAATTTCACTGTTAAGGGTGATTGTGGGTATAAAAGACACTGAAGGTTTGGGATGGGCCCAGCTCTTTTGAAAGAAACCCCTTATCTACTGCATGCATGACTTGCCAGTAAACTCCCTATAAACCCAAGTATTCTGACTGTGTAGTCCTGTAGATGTCAGTGACAGCTCCAAAATAAGAGCAGTTTTAGGATTCTTAAGAGTTGATTGGAGTTTGAAACATAGCTGTAAAGCTAGACTCCTGTCATACAGCCCTTATTACAGTAGATGTATCTAATGTATGACATGCAAACGTCAAATTTCTAACTTGCAGAATGAAGGGCATAGTTTTAGACTAGGTATTCCTATTCCTCATATTCCCTATAACCTAGGGAACATAAATATTTATTTTTAAAGTTTCAGCGATGTTATGTTACATTGGCTAGCTTCCTCAAAATCATTATCACTAAATATACAGGTTTGGAAACAAAATACCATAACATATATGAGATAATTTTCAGATTCTGTGTTTTAAAGGGGTTATTGACAATATATTTCTAAGGTACGGCTTCTAGTTTTCCATAGGAACAGACTGTTGTTATATGAATATTGTATAAAGTGCAGTTCTCCTAGGGGAATCACTGTCATCCTTTCTTTCCCTGAATTTTGAAATTTTTCTTACTTTGAGTGCCATCATTCATTTTGTGTCACTATTTGTTACATTTTAGAAAAAAACCTTAAACACAATAGAAGATTTTTGTAGTATCTATGATGAATGAAAAGAAAACCCATATTAAACTTAATTACTTATTTTCTAGGATTTCTGGTGTTAGTGTACATCCCTCTTGGAATTTAGAAAAAAATGTTAGGGTGATAATGTAATAATTTAACAGATCCTAAAAGAGCTTCATCCTTTCCTTTGCTCTTTTTACCAAGCACAACTTTTTTTTTTTTTTCAGTACTAATTTCCTTAATTACTGTGGTAACCAGTAGCTTTGCTTTGGATGTATGCAAGTTCCACAGCACTTTTAATTGTGTGCCTGAAGTCCTGCACAGAATTGAGGATCGTCAGGATCCCCAAAGGGCAGTTCATAATTAGCTGGTGGCTGAACATGGTGACCTCTAAGCTCAAATAAATACAATTCCTAGTATTTGGTTTGTGTTCCCAGCTGGCATAAAACCTCTCTTTTGGACTGATGGCAGAATAATATGTCCTTTTTTGACTTGCATGTGGTTTATTAATCTGGGTGTTTGGAAGAAATCTGCCCAATTTGGTCCCTGCAGGGAATGTAGGCACAGGGGGGATCTAGTAGCAGCTCCAAATGAGTGTAGGCTTGAGTAAATGCTTTGTTCTTTTGGGTTTTGGGGTTTCTTTGAAAACTACTTTTCTGAAAACTTGTAGTCAGTTATTTTGGTTTTGGGTATCTTATGTCCTTTACAAGACATTGTTCTCGTTCACTGCTTTTTCACTCTGAATATACAAAGGAGTCCCATTAGTGTAGTCCTGCCACTTGCCAAGGAATTGATGTGCACGTGGTAATGCAGACTTGGACTGCTTCTTTAGTCACACTGCCTAAGGTGCAAGTGGCACGAAAAAAACCCACTATTAAAATACTTTGTGCTAGATATCATGGGTATACACGCTGTAACATGAAGTAGGAGATAAAAGACTTTCTCTTTTGCATTTCTGTTTGAAATTTCTGTTATCCTTTTCAATGTGACTGGTATTGCTTTAGAAAATAAGTATTCCCACAGAATTTAGCTGAAGATTGACTTACACTAGAGAAAACTATTTTAAGATGTTGGATCTGACTTCTTTTGAGGCATAAATAACTGGCTCTTAAACACTTGCTTCTTTGAAATTAATGTAAGAAAATAATAGTATGAAGTGTTAAATCAGGGTTTAGTTGTTTGTGTTTTTGGTTTGTTGGTTTTTTTAACTACTAATAAGATTCTCTTGCTAGTCCTGATTTTGTCTATGTGTCCAATTAACTCTCAACTCTTATTCTTATAGGCAGTTACTGGGCAGAGCTTTGGAACCAAAGATTTTCGAGCAGCTCTAGAAAATGGAGTCCTGTTGTGCGAGTGAGTATTGACTTCCCTATATAAAAACCCTTCAGATTAACATCAGCTGGCCTCTTTCCTTCCTGGCCTCTGAATAATTTTTTAAGTATTAGAAGGATTTTGTAGTAAATAATATTCAATTTTTTATTACCTGTTGTTTGTCATGGGAAGGAAGAGCAGCTTTTGGACACACTATTTCCAGATCCATGTGTTCTGTGTGTTGTCCCACACATTTCTTTGTGTGATACTGAGAGGATCATGCTGTTGTTCATTATCTTGTTTTTGGTTACAATGCCCAGGCTATCTCTGGGCTTTCTCTTCAGTTTTTGCAAGGTGTGGCTATGGCTGGGATCAAAGCACTCTGTTACCCCTGTACCCACTGTTTGGGTTTGGATTTCTGTCCTCCATCTCCCACCCTTTATTGTTGATTCTATAAATCCTCAAACTACCTATTCCTATCACAGAACTTTACACTCAGCTTGTTTTGGAGCACTTTCTGTAAGAAGCTTCCTTGTGCTTATATACTGTAGGCTTGACAATGATGGGACTTGCCTGGTTTCGTTACTAGACTGAGTCAGAGGTGTAAAATGTCCATTCATCAGGTCTCATCTGCATATCTGTAATTGGCTTGGTACTTTACTGGAACAGGTTTCCAGGACTGGAAGTGGTGCTAATCCCTTGGTATTTTAGGGAACAACAGTTGTAAATGTCATTAGAACACCAGTGCAAGAGAAATCTTATTGGAGAACTACCTGGGATGCTAAACAAAAATAAGGAAAAAAAAACCCCAAAAAAACACACAAAAAAAAAATAAAACCACCCCACAAACCTGAGCCACTCTAAAATCAGTTCAGCAAAGCTAACTTTCAGTAAATATTTGACAGTTCAGTTCTCTGAGCTTCTTTTCCTATATATAATCTTTTCCTTCTGTGAATATTCATCATATTTTCTGTCCTTGCCTCTATTTTGCTTTGGACCCTTTGCCCTTCCAGGCTTATCTTGCTAGTTGCTTTTAAAGTTATCTGTGATATGGGACATTGATTTTCAACAATATTGTAGAGCTAGATGCTTTATTTTCATTACTTATGTAATTAAATGTTAGTGAGTGTGAATGTAGTAATAAAAATAGTTTATACTTTTAATAAGAAGTTATTTCTTCAGGTATGTATTTAGTGAGATGTGTATGTTGTATTCAGATGTTTAAGAATTGGCCATTAACTGATGCATACTAATCTTCTGATATCTTCATTGTTGACACGTACTTGGCAAGAGAATGAGGTTCCATCTGCCAAATGCAAATCAGCTAAATTTATATATAATTAATATTAATGCAAGAAAAACATCCTGTAATTTCTTCAGTTGAGCAGCTTGCCTTCGGAGGCATGCAACTTTCTTTAAAGCAAAAGCTGCCTTTTTATGTTGTACTAAAATAGCTGTTCTCCTGTGTCATAATTTTAAATCTGACATACTTGAAGTCCAAGGAGGAGTGATTTTCATAGAAATTCTGTGGGAACAGGAAAGAGCAGATGGCAAAAATTTTCACATCGAATTTTCACCAACGACAATACAGTGCAAGATCTCAAATAATTGACACAAACTAGAAATTACATTGTCCATTTCCTTGGTTCACCTGTGGCATGGCTAATTTAGGTGGATAGAATATCTCTGTAGATTGTATATCTGACTTAAACCACAGCAGATAAGACCTCTGCTTGCACCACACGTTCCTACAGCATCCAGTCAGTTTGTTTGTCCTACTCAATGACTAAGTGCAAACTTGTCAAATTGTCTGAGTGATCAGTAGTTGACAAAATAAAGCCTTTTATGTTTTGTCAATTCTAGTGTGCATACACTAGAGAAAGAAACTCACTGAGGTTTATCTGGTCACATGCTACTTCATGTTCTTCAGTAAAATAAATCAAAAATTAGGCATTTGGAAGATTTAAAAATAAAAAAAAAAACAAAAAGGGAGGAATGCAAACCTTTATTTTAATTCCACCTCAACAGATCACTTTTTTGGTTGGGAAAAGTAATCAAATGTGTCTTGTTTGCTAAATAAGTCAGTGTTACTGAAACATCTCAGGATCTGCAGCTCTTTTTTTTCCCTGCATGTATCCAGAAATGTATCCTTCATTCCAGCATATAGGGGTAAATTGTTCTTTGTGTTTATTTTTCAAATACATTTTCTGCTTGAGCAAAAGATGTTTTTTCCCCATGCAGTGTTTTAATGTCTTGCCTTTACACTGGTGCAGGTAGATCACAAAGCCTTGCTGATGCTTTGTGTGGGGTAAAGGGTCTGGCCAGACAAGCAGCAACAAGAAGTGAGAGCAAGTAAAAAAATTCTCAAAGGTACAGAGGCAGATGAAGTCTGCAGGTTGTCCTGAGGTCCCTGTTCTCTACTGACCCTATGGTCCAGTGTGTAATTTGGTGAACCACAATATTTCCCTACCTGCATGACTAAAAACCTGGATATAAACTTGCAAGGAATCCTGTGCCTCATCATCAGTGCAGGATAAGGTATGCATTTGGGCTTATGTATTCAACAGTGATGTGTTAGTCTGTCCTATCTTCTCAGCTTAATTATGAATTTTATATGAAGACTGATATCAGGTACAATCTCTTCTGAGTGAGATGGAAAATGACTTTGTGCATGTAAATTATATGTACCAAAAATGATTGCTGCACACAGCATAGTGGACTTGGTAGCATTACGAAAACTGAGTTTATTTCTCACCCTTACAGGAATGTTAGTGCTATCACACTGCACTCTGAAAATCAGTATTCTGGTACATTTTTGACATCTGCTCAGAACCTTTATGAGGAGAATATCTATGAATAGGAAATTTGAGTCCAATTAACATCACCACCCATGTAAGAGAAATACAGATCCTTTTCTGCCCACGCCTCCTCATGCATTTTCTTTTCTTTCTCACTTTGCTGTTCCCAGAAACCTCTTTGTGTGTGACTTGTTTAATTTTTGCTTCTACAATCTGTTCTTGCTTGTCACTTCTAGGGAGTGTTAATAGGTTCAGCTCAAACTCATTCAAATCATGTTGAGTTAGGACTACATACAAAATATTTCTTACTAAGCATTGATGCTCATGCTTAAGTACAGTAAATTATTTAACAGAAAATCATATACTTTTTTTTTTTTTTTTTAGTTTGATTAACAAGATCAAACCTGGCATCATTAAGAAGATCAATTGTCTGCCAACTCCAATAGCTGGCTTGGTAAGTAATGGCATTGAATTTAATATCTGGCATATGAACTAAGTGATCTTTGTTTTAAGGAGTTTTCAAAATTTTGGCATAATTTTCATTTTTTGTTCAAAATTGTTATCTTGGACCACAAGGGATATCTAATCCGTCATTTGAATATGTAACTTCAGTCATCATAATGATGAAGCATGAAGCTTCATCATCCCCAGAGGTATCAAGCACTGGCTCCTGTGCACAAACCTCTGTGGCATTAATAGTCTCTGTTTAAGGGCCACCATCCTATCTTACATTCAGAAGCCACTTCCAATATCCCTTTCTTAGGGAATGGGCAGAGTAGGAAATATTCTGTATAGTTACAGTATTTTTAGAACCTGTTTCACTCTACCCACAGCAAAGCCTCAGTTGCATTAAAATAACTCTGATGATGCAAAGATCTGTCTTCAGGCTTCAGCTGAGGGATTTGCCAATGTTTTGGCTGTAAATCACATTGCTGGGGGTAGAGGTGGGAGATGCATGTCATAATTTTCACAGGAAATGTGAAAGATTTTCTGTATGTTGTTTAGAAAATTTGCTGCATAGAGACTAGGATAAGTTTTGTAGCCATTTAGCATCAGAAACCCTTCCGTGGGCAAATAAATTCTTAGAATTCCTCCTTCTTACTTTTTTCACTATGACAACATTGCTGGCTATTCATGTCACTTAGGGTGTCAAGGCTATTTAGTCCTGTCACAAAAACTGTTGGTCTCATATTAAAAGATCCAAGGTGAACAGGGACATGTATGATTCCTGTGACAAATGGAAAATTGCAGCTTACTCTAAACATGCAAGCTCTCAATGAGGGAAAATTGCCTGCTTTCTTAGTAGGAGTGTAATACAAAACTTCTCTAGATACTTTTATTTGTTTTAATGGGATAAGCCAACAAAATATTGGCTTTTGCTGGTCAACCACGTAGCTCATTAGAGAATAAATGTAGTTAACTTGGCTGGAGGTCATAAGATTAGGTTAAATTGCCATAAATTATTGCACAAGCTGAGAATGTGCATTTCCACATCAAATGAATGTAGAAAGTATTAGTTGCCTTTGTCCCAGACATGCTCAGGTATTTAGGCTTGTGAATAAGATTGCTGCACATTCTTTTCCTGTGAGGCATGCAAAAAAGAATTCAAATGAAACCAAAATAATTTTGGGGAGGACAGCACTGTTATTTGATCAGAAGTTTGATTGCCTACATGGCCTCTGAAGTAGTCATTAGATTCAAACCAGAAAACCATAACCTAGATTTCATTTTTGTGGTGATTTAAGTGTTGTCTTGAATCATAACTGCAAGCCCTATTGTTTTTATATGCATTTTTTATTTCCAGATGTAAAAATGCAGAGTATTCATTTGGTGTGTAATTTATATCTTACTTGTAATGTATTATTGTTTTTTGAAGTTGTTTCTAGTTCCCACAAGTCTTCAGAAATAAAGGAAAGAAGCAGAAAGGTGAATTGTTCTTGTAAATTGTGCTCACCCAGTGTTATTAAAATACGACTTAGAGATAATAATTGAGAGAGCTGATGTTTTGTGTTAAACTGTGGAAAAGGTTTTACATAAACACTTCAGTTTTAGAAGACAATTGTGAAGACCATATTGGAGTGGTTTCAGAAGATGGTGCTTATGGTGACAATAGTGGAAGACTGGTTTTCACAGACTTGAGGGGAACCTTCTCAGTTATACCAGCTTTGAAGATCCCAGGTTTCATCCCAGTGTGTAAAACTCAAACTAAAATTTATGGGGATTTGTATTTATAAGGAAGCAGACATTGATACCTTGACAGGCTCAGGATACTGTGGTTGAAAGACTGGATTTGGAGATATAAAAAGCTTACTAGGAAATTTGGTGGTAGGCTTGCTTGACATGTTCTGGAAATATTTTTGTTGCTTGTAGGCTGTTTCTCCCACAAATTTGCTTCTAGTGTTTTCTGTGGCTTCATAAATGTTACATATACTTCTGTGGCTCTCACTTCTGCTGTCTTGCTGTCTTCAATGCCTTTGAGTCTTACACTAATTGCTCCCCAGCAAGCTTTCATGAGATCTAGAAATCACTGTTGGAAGGGGTGAATTTATATTTCTTATTTTTCTATCTGTTTTTGTTTGTTTGTTTTTTTTTATTCCAGATGGAAATTTTAATATCAAGAGATGGCAGGGATTTTTCTGAAACAAAAAGAGATCTGATCATGTTCTTTCTACAGCTTCTTCATGCTCCTCTAGACTCATATCCTGAAGTCCATTTCCAAAATATTTTATGCCTTGATTGCCTAATTAGCATCCATTTCTCTCCTGACTTTCCTGTTTCAGAGGAAACAAAACCCCCATGGTTTTGAGAGTTTTGTGGCAGTCTGATTATCAGAAGGAAACAAACGCTTTGAAAGACATCTTGTTTCTCTTCCCCCCTTTCCCTCCCCTTTGTTTTTCTTCCCCTCCAGGAATTCCTTGAATTTTGGTTTTGTTCCCTAGGGAGTTAATATATTTTATTTCCATATAAGTATGTGTTGTCTTCAGCTATTTGTCAGGCTTTTTCAGCAGTACAGAAATACAGTGTTGAATAGATGCCTTCGGTTGAATCTCCAGAAGGGTTTAATTATCTCACTTCTTTGAGTTCATGGTTATTTTGAAAACAGAGTAAAATAGTAAGTGATGGCCTGTAGGAATGAAGCATTCTGTTCTATATGGAATATTGTGTGCTAGAGTTAGTGTGAGGTGCTGCTCTTAATGAAGTCAATGTATTATTGATTTGGTATGTCTTTTTTTATGACACCTTACTTAGCATAAGATCTAATAGGGACTTGATATTAGTAGGAACATTTTACACAACTCAGATTAAGCCTTGGCTTTTACCTTTAGTTTGATTGTACTGCTGCCTAGTGATTTTTAGGTGTGGATTGCAATGGTTCAGATCTAATCATGATGGAATGGAAAAATAAATATGTGTGTTTTGAGGATTAAATACTGAAATGAAACTTGGCATTCAGTTAAAGAAAAATGCTTCATTGGTACCAGGAAAGTTCAAAAAACTGATTAAACTTCTCCCCAGTTTGGCATGGGAAATCTGGGCTTCAGCTTGTGTTGGGAGGGTTTGTAAGAAGTCTTTGGGAAGAAGAGTTGGATCTGGCTATAACTTGGTATCCATATAACGACATTTTGCTCCAGCCCCACTGCTCCAGTTTTCTCCTGGGGCGTGTGGGTGAGATGTAGCCATTGTCTCAGCTGCATTTGCCTGTTTGCTTCTGTTCCAGTTTGGAAAATGCCGGGGGTGAGGTGAGTACCAGAGTGGTTGTAGGGAAGCTGTGGTCGGGACAGGTGGCTGAAGAAATGTCCATGCAGCTCTCATGGTGGTTTCCTGGACAGTGAGGTGTGCCAGCTGCCAGGTGCTAAGTTCTAACTCCAGCAGTAGTGGCAGAAAGTGGCCACTTGCAGAAGGTTGATTTTTAACAGCACATGGCAGATTTTGGAGCCAGTGATGATCTCATAGATTTCCTGAAGGGAAACTGGGAGGCAGCTGTTGGGTTTTTTTGCTTTAATTTTGAC